CTCTCACACACACACACACACACACACACACACACAAAAACACAAACACGAAAAAAAAAAAAACACGCATTGCGTGCGGGACGACACGGAGAAACGGGTTCGCGTAGTTCAGGGTCGCCCATTAATGATATCTGCGTCGATAGTGGAGCCGCGCAACATTGCCCCACACTTAAGCTGGGGGACGAGCAATGGGCGGAAGAGCTGCAGAGCCATCCTTCAGTGAAACGATGCGTGTTGTCCAAGTCATCTATCTTCCAATCTCTCACATTTCTCACCCATTCTCGCCTGCGATCCACTCCTCCAGTCCCCCGTCCATTTTGGTGTTGAGGCTCACCAAAGGGCAAACCGAAAACCGCCTCTCACTCGACCATCAGGCAAGTAAGACATTCAGGGCCAATTGAGTCCGCTAGTTCTATATTTAGCCCAGAACAGTTACTCGACATCTGTCCACACGAGGAAAAAAACGGCTCCTGGAAATTTGTGCGATGAGAACCGTTTGATCAGCGGCAGATTCAATCTAATTGACCCGATCTACCGGTAATACACGCTCTCGACATCGAGAAAATGCCGAAAACCTACTTACAAATGGACAAAGTCGACACGCGATAGATTTCCTTAGTTCCCGCCAAACCATTGAATTCGACAGTTCATCCCATTTTTACTGGTTAGTTATTACTCATGGCAATACTAAACATGAAGACAGTGTCAAAACATGCTAGAAGAAAACAGACATGAGGACAGTTCTACTAACATGCTCAAGCTAAGAGGACTGCCTAACACCCTAGAAGAAATCAGACAACAGTCACAATCAATCGAGAATCCATATCCACATCCCATTCCATCCATATCCACTTGAAGACAGTGCATATGAGCACTTCAGATGGCATCTGAACAGCCCAAATTGCCGCTTCAGAAGCCGGATTTCTGTACGAGAACGAGCAGGAACAGACAGGATGGTAAGAGCAGAGACGGGGAGAAAGGCGGGTGATAGGTTCTGATAAGGATCACTGTAGGAAACCGAGAAGAAACCGCGAGATGGCGAGAGCAGAAACGGGGAGAACGGCTGGCCAGAGGTTATGCAAGGGACCTTACTCTGTTGGAAAAGGAGAAGGAACAAAGGGAGTCGGAGAGAGCAGACACGGGTAGAAAGGCTGATGATAGGAGGAGTTCTGAATGGCTCTTACTCTAAATGTTTGTCCAAGATCTTCCCCTCTTGGGCTAGCCTGTAAAAGAGCTGATTGGCTAGTTCTTCGGGTAACAATTCGATCGTTCCTCTTTGTCGTTCCCAAAGGGAACTTCGACAGACGGCGTCTATGCAGAGTTTCGTCAGCGGCGGGACGGGTTTCACGTTTCCTGTGAAGCCCGCCACCCTCGAACCGACGGCGTCGATACCTGCAAGTGTATCCAGGCGCTCGGAGAAAGGAAGGCGATCCTCGTCCTCCTCTTCCTCTTCTCCGCCCATATCCACCGCTCCCCTACGGCCATAACCATCCCAGAACTCACTCCCATCTCCATCGTACCCGTCCTTGAGAACGCCGGCCAAGAAATACGACCTACGAACGGTCGATAACCTTGCGCGGCTGCCCCATTGCGCGCTTGAGCTGCTAGTTGTTGCCCTTAACATTCCGCCTCCACCGCTTCCACCGCGCCGATGCATCGTGATCCTGCGCAGAGACGCTGTATATGCACCCTCCAGCGACGATGCGGTTCGAACCAGCCCTCTGCGTCGGGGCAAGGGTCTTCTCTGACCCCCGACCGCAACTTGTACAAATGGGATACAGATCAGATAAAGCGTGAAAGAAACAGGCTGCCCGAAATAAGAGAACGAAAGAGTGGAAGGATGAGCGGAAGATGGAGAGGAATGAGGACTGCAGCAGCAGGATGAGAGACCCGGAGAAAGAGATGGAAAGAGAGAAGGTCAAAGTCGGCGCAAGCACGTGTGCTATGAAGAGACAGGCGGAATTGACACCAGCGATGGAGACGGATCGATCGGCTCTCCTATACACAGCGGAGTCCGGATCATCCTGTCCTACAAGCGGCAATGCAGATCTTCCGACAAACAAGGTGCATGCTTTCAGCGTGGCGCGAAACACGATCCAGCACCATTTTGAAACTCAATCGGCCAGTCGTCGTTCGCCGGGATCCCGCTACCACCGTACGGAGGGCCACCCTTGGGCCTACCGAAAATCAGCGGGGCCCGAAGCGGGAGCCCTTTGGATTCCGATGCGACGGGTTGGGCCTGGCAGTCCCAGCGGGAGTGACCGCCCGCCCATGAACGTTCCGCGCTTTGGCCTGACAGTGCACTTTCGTAGCCCACACATGCAAGTGGCACTGAGGAGGCTGTGGGTTCGAGCCCCACAACCGGCTGCGGCGCACATGGTGTCAACCAGCGGTGATAGTCCGCTTGATACCTCTGATTGGTATTAGCAGGTCCTTGGCCAACACGGTGTGAGTGTGAGGGTGAGTGGGTTGTGTGTGGCGTGTGGGAGAGTGTTGGCCTTATAGACATTGCTGTTATTATGTTGGGGGTGCGGGACGATGAAAAAGGGAAGTGCAGTTATTGGCAAAATGCCCGGTCTTTGCGTTAGCGAGAACCCCACCAGCGGTCCCACCCCATCCTTGACCACCATGCTTGGGGCGGGGGGCAACATGCATCCTCTCTGATTGCTGGAGGAAGACAACAAAGCTATGTTTGCAGGGTTCCCCTGTGTAAGCTTTAGGAGTAATGGTAGGTAGGTAGTGAAGGTGAATTGAAGGAATTTAAAAGATGGTGAAAGATTTGAGAGAAAAATATAGCGTTGTCGGGCATGACAGTCCCACACCATGCGATAAGTGTCGGACCTCACGGTTGTGTCACGCAAGAGTAAGCTACTGTGTTGAGTTAGTGGAGATACCACTCCGACCGTGCGTATCAACTACACCTCTTACGACTTTCTGTGCAAGGACGAAGTTTCGCGAGGTACAAACTCACCTCCACCTGATGGGTTATCACAACCCTTAGGCAGGTTTATCCTTGGTGAGTTACCGACTTATGTGCGAAGTTTTTTACTTGCAATCATAGAGGAAACTCAATCGAGGGTGTCTGCTCGATCGCGGTAGCATCGGCACACTGGTTGAATGCCTTAAACTGACCCGTATACGTGTCGTGCATCAGGGCGTTAAACTCCCGGAGCGACTTACAATTCGGGTCAACCTGATTGACGAACTTTTGTTCTTACAACATATCAATTTGTTTGCACTTGTCCCATAAATTATTCATGCTACACAAATCATTTTCAATCAATACATATATAATGAGTAAATTTTGAGGGTTGAGACTTAAGAGTGAGGAAATGTCTTTACATTTTTAAACAAGCAAGGCAAAATAAGAATGCATAAATATGAAATGTACAAGGTTTCTGACCCCGTCAAAGATCACAATCTGCTTAACATAAATAATAACAAAGTTTAATATCCAAACCAAACATACAAAAGTTACACGTTGTTGAAAATTTTGAGTCAAGGTTTAGATGAGCATAAGTTTGTCAATGTCAACTACGTTGTCGTTTTACTGATTTACAAACAAAAATCAAATGCACAACACAATTCTAATAGAGTCAACCATTTGTTTACTTTCAAACACATCGTACTTACATTTCCGATCCTCTTAGTCATACATTCATTTTTCAACTTAGTCGTGTAGTCTCGTATGATTTTAGTCATTCGATGTATTTTTTTAACCTAACACATACCTTTTAGACAATGGCCCGAAAATCAAAAATGTCTTTTAATGTAGGGGTCGATGGAAAGGACGAATCTTGAGGGTGAGTGAGTGTTAAGTCGGCAAACCGACTTGTCACCATAAGGTAACATCATGCCATCTTGCATAGACTCATTGCATGTTTCCCTTAATGATTTATCAACTAAGATGATATGCAATCACAAACATGTCAACGCGATTTCAACACCCTTGTTACAATATTATCTCATATGAAGTTCGGTAATCTGAACTTCAAGTATAACGAAGGAAGATATGGGAATGGTACAACTTCCTCTAAGGAAGTAGTCCTTCATATTTTCTATCAAAAAAATAAGAGTTGTTTTATTTCAAAAATTCCGGTCTATTCAGAGTAAATCTAAGTAGGCAATATGAAAACCCTCACAGGAGCTTTCATCTTACCACTTTTTTTATGTTATTCAATATGGATTCAATCAAGGAGTACGAAGACTCGCATTTGAGTCTTTAGTTTACTGCTTTATAAACCATATAAACTTACACTCTGACAAACAATATAAAATTTCTAACTTGAGTATCTTTTCTTTCTATTTTATCCCAATTCCTATTAGCTTGAGCACACAGAAGTAGTGAATTAACTCGCACTTGAGTCTTCTATCACTTGATCAATACGAGGCAGTTTAAATCCAAACAAGTAGTCAAATGACTCATACTGGAGTATCCTATTACCCTTTCAATATCATTCAATATCAGATTCCCACACAAATATTACGATAATTACAAACAAAACAGTATATATTTCCGCCAAGTAGTTGGATAACTCACACTTGAGTGTACCATTGTCGGGGCAATTACCTTGACAAGGGTATTTGCCGGGGGTTTTCAACGTCGGACGTCGTCCGACTTTTGTGTGGAGTTGAAGGACTTGATGAGACCGACGTTGCCAAAAGTTTTTAGACCCGACCTATGACTGACAGACAAAACGCTTCGGATGTTAGTCCGAACGCGTGTGGCATCCAGGGGTAGTGCATGTGAATGGTAAGGTTTCGCTTTGTCGAAGCCGCAGGAATATGCAAACATGGGAACGGTAAAATAAACCTATTCTACCTAAAATAACGTCGCGCGGCTAACGAGGCTATAAAGGGGGGATGCGCCGGGTATAGGGTCGCGGCGCAGAAGGAATGAAAGGTTTTTTTGTCTGGGCCGCGGAGGTTGACATCGAGTGAGGGGGCTGTTAGGCTGATGCCATGCGGCCTACCAACGGCGTAAGGCATGCCGACAAGGCCTGCAAGACAGCAGGCAGGCAAGGCTTGCAGGGTCCCCAGGCAGGCAGGGCCTGCGATAGGCAGGCGGGGCCTGCAAAGCCTCGGCGTGGGGGGAAAACCGACTGGGTCAGCTCTTCTTATAGCTCTTATCACTGTTGTGATAGGAGTTAGTCCAGTAGGTTACAACAGGTGACTTTCACCTGGCGGACACCGGGATCAAACCCGACATACTGCACAACTGGGCTAACTCCTTTTGGAGCTGGCCACTTTGCTGTCGGCGGGGTCAATTTCGATCGTCGATCGAAAAGATCGTACGGCCGAGATCGGCCGCGCGAAGATTAGCAAGGCCCCTGAGCAAGGATGCCCACGAAGTGACCATTGGCCGAAGCCAACGAAAAAAAAAAATAAAAAAAAATAAAAATAAAAAATAAAAATATAAACTGAGTATGAGGCGCCACATGGCGCTCTGCGAAGTGACTAGGGCATTGAAAACCCCAGAGCACTTGACAGTCGCCCGTGGAAACGGGCGACCGTTTTTCTGCACAAGGTAAGTTAATTTTTTTTATTTTTATTTTATTTTATTTTTTCCTAGATTTGATTTTAGATCCCTTTTTAAATTTTAAATTTTTTCTTTTTTCTTTTTCTTTTTTTTTGTGCGAAGCCCGTTCGTTTTGACGAACGGGTCGCGACTGTGTCCAACTGTTTCGTCGGACTTCCACCGGCTCATCAGGAGGTTAAACCTCGACAGTCGTCGACGGGGTGACTAAGTCGAGTGGATCTTCCCCTA